CACCGTTGAGAGAAACTGTCCAACTCCCTTGTCTAATCAGATATCACGCATCAGTGGCGCTGGAGAACCCTCAGGACACGACAGATCAGAGGATCCAACATCCAAAGATCACTGACCTCTCCCACGCGTCTGTCCTGTCCCCTCGGCCTCAGCTGAAGTGGCTCAGCGGATTGTCACGGGTTCTGTGTACGCCGGGGATGGATTCGGTGGCGGGATGGAAAACGGTTCAGCTCCTCCCAGAACGCACCGGTGAAGCCGATTATGTAAGCCGATTATGTCCAGGAACAGATGAGCAGACTCTCATGCCCTGTGCCGTGTGTCTCGGCCTCGGGATAGTTGTGCTCACAGCGTGGGCTGTAAAGTTTGAATGAACGGTCATGGCAGATAATTGTTAGGCCAGAGTACCTATGTATTTTCCAACTGATTTGTAGCATGTAAGATTGCCCGTGAAGTGCGCCCGATTTATAATGTACGCATGACGTTTCAAGGCTGGTGTGTTGTGCAATGGTCCAATCGATGAGGCGACAAATGAACGAAAACATAGACAGGCCATTGTGAACAGCAATCAGCTGAGTTTCATCATCGCACATTGAATTCACAAATTGGTTCAAACACGGTGTGCAAAATAAATGAACATTTCCTAACGAATGTTTCCTAATTCGTCAAAATTTCATCCTCATCTGTGTGATGATGGCAAAAAAAGAACAATGCAAACCACATTTTTAAAGTTAAAAAGAAAAAAACAAGGAAATAAAAGGTAGCAAATATTTCCATAGGCGAAGGCAAGCAAAATAAATTCAGGCACCCAACTTCCACATTCAAATCCCTTATCTGGATATTCATCTCCAACGGACTTCCACGCGGCGGTATACGTTGGACGACCTTGCGCTGGGTTCCATTTCCATACATCACACACAGCGTCCCATGACGGCCGGTTCGAGCCTCACTTGGACCGACATTATCGTCACACCGCCGTCACCGGCCGTGTTATTACTGTCGGCGACGGCGTTATCGACGATCGGTCATCGTCGGCCATCGCTGGCCAGGTGTCAGACGCAGCGGACGGCTACACAGAGCGGGCGAAAGTTAACTGTGGGCCAGGTCCCAATCGAGCACATTCCAAACTGGGAAGGTCATATCAGAGCCGAATATTTTTTTTGCTTGCTCCCTTTTTGCGAAAGCAAAAGGAAGTGTTTATTTGTCCTTTGACGTGTAGCTTGTTATTGATTTAGTTGTAGCTTGTTGAAATGAATTAATTGGCAAGACATTTCCAATGTGCGTGGTGTCGAACACTTTTTGAGTTTGTATGTAGTGAACGCTCTCCATTCCATTGCCACCATGACTTTACCTGAAGCATGCCCGATTCTTATCTTCGTCAGTCGGCATCATACCTTCTTTCATACCCCTAAATCACATATCTGCGTCTGCAAGTCCTTTTCTTATCCTCCCTTCGCCTGTTACCATCCTCCCTCTCCCTTAAATCTCCCTTTTCTCTCACCTATCCCAATCCCTGCCTTCGTCAGAGTCGACCGTTTCCCATACACGTTCCATACGCGTCGGAACGGTAGGCGTCTTTTGGAACGACACCTTCAAGGCCGGTCGCAGGTGCCCGGAGCGCCTGACCTACCACGGCCGCCGTTCCCGCTCCGCCGTATGACCCAATGCCTGTATGTAAATATGCGAGCCATCAGTTTGGCCATAACTGTGCCGTAAATATGGTGCTAACATCGCCGTCACCGCTGCTGGTGGTGGTGCGCCGTCTGATGACATCGTGGGGCCGGTGCTGAGGGTGAGGGGAGAGGAGAGGAATCTCGGAGGATGCAGGTTACAGCGATCGAGAAACCGTCTTGATATGTCAATTCATGTTGGCTTGTTACAGTAAAAAATGCAATCCATGTCTTCGTAAATTGCAAGCATGTGTATTGTGTGGGACACAGCCAATATATTTTTTTTGCTGTTATTTCAATCAGTACAGTTTAATACTTAAACATACCATAGCCGCAAACAGATGTCGTGAGGCAGCAGACCATTGGCTGTTTCTTTCATTTCACCCTCGTCCCAGCAAATGACCAATTATCTATCTGGTCCATCCACCCGGTGGCGACCTCACGCTGAGCGGTGACGGTCGGTCGGCCGGGGTTGTTAGCGCGACACCGCCGGGTGGGGAGGAAGGGGCGCGCGGGCCCGCGCGGCGCCGGCCACGGGACAGGGGCGCACCCGAGGTGTTTACCAGAAACACCATATTTTGTCCGGCGTCGTCCCCTCGCGCCCCAGAGCGTATGAGAATGCCTCTCTGTGCCCTGTGTCGGCTGCCGTCACACGCTGTCATATCGATAAAGAACTGAGTGGTAGCCGGTTGGGTGAATAACCCCCACTGGGCTGGTTAGCCGGGAGGGGACCCGGGCCGCTTCCCTCTGTACTCCGGGTGTGTTTGTCGAGGTCTGGGGGCGGTCCAGCCGCCAGGTGTGAGCCTGTCGTTGTCCCCGGCTGACAGAGGCGCCTCTGTGGGTGTCCCAGCCCCCAGCCGAGGGCAGCAGGGGTCAGGGGCCGGTCAGAGGTCGGCAGAGGGGTAACCGCAGTCCGCAGAGGGTCGTCCAGCCGGCCGACCCGCAGTGGTAGCAGCTGGTATGGTCCGGTAGGTTGTCAGGACAGAAAACAAGCCACTGTTAGCCAGCGATCGTTTTATTATGCGATCACCGCGCCATTGTTAGACCCAGCGAGATCTATTACTAAGGTCATTCCAAAGTTGATGAACGTTTGTTCTGGAATTCATAAAAGCTGTTTCGCTTGTTCCCTAAGAGAAAGTAGAATGGGATGGATGTATGTATTTCAAGAGCGAAAACACAATTGCATCAAACTATTGGCATCGCACAATGAACGAAGTAAAATCAGTACCGTCTTTGGACTGGAGTCACGTTATCGACAGAAGCAAGCTCTTGACGAGAATGTGTCACTTTGGAGCTGTCTTGATAAAATATTCGAATGGCTCATAACATAACTAATGGTGCATTATTGGGCACTAGCATATTCAACTTTGATGTAGCTGATGCTATAAGACACGTTCATCTAGTCTGATGCAAACCGAAGTTGCTTGCACAAACTGCTTTTTTGTACATAGCCCACACTTACTTGTGTTCTTAACTTCTTCGACAATTTCATCACAAAAGTCAGTGCCAATAGAAGTTCGCCTAAAAAGACAATATTCTCAATGATTTTTTTAGCCAATCCCTGCTACCTTTTTTACCGTCCATTTTCGCTAATGAAATGGTTCCTGCTAATTGAAACCCGTGGAACATTTTTCACTTTGTCTTTAGTTCATCTGTGGTGAAAAATAGCATGTAAAAACATTAGAATGATAAGTCAGTTTGTATGGCCGCTGGCGGCAGGTTTGTTTTGGTGGTTCATCACTCACACTCGAACCCAGGTAGCTGCACTGCCGCCCTCCGGAGCTGATCATTTCTCTTTGGAATGACGAAACAAGAATATATGGAGTCTGGACCACCGCGTCGAAAGGAAGAGGCCGCAAGGAGGGAATGGATTTGTAGTGCACTGCCTCTTGACTTGACCTACTGGCACAAGTGGATAGTTGATCCTCTGGACGCTGTTTAATCGCAATGCAGTTTTCTAGAGGTAATCAATGCCTTTCTAACTGAATGAAAATGATGCTGAATTTTGCATGGGCGGATTTACAAATGTGAAACGCCTTTTCCTAAAAGTATTGTAGCAACAGAAACCTGCAAGTCACGATCCTACTCTGAATGCATCTGCCAAACTTGTTATCTGCCGGATTGCCCTCTCCTCGGCAGACCCCAGGTAGGTGTGTACGACGGTACGGTCGCCGCTACCCCTCCCCACCGTCACCGCTGTCCCTCTCCAGCGTCGCCAGATGGCGCCGTCCGGCTCTGAACGAAACGACACCGGTCAGTGAACATCTGGCCGTAGCCGCGGGTGGCAGACGGATGCCAGAGTGGCAGACGGTGCCGCCTGTATCACGGCAGGCGACGCCAGGTGGTCACAGGCGCTGCCGCCTCGGTCGGTCCGCCAGCAGGCGGGTGTTCACTGCCCGCCGGCCGCCGCCAAACGCCGGCGATCGCGCTACCCAGTGCAGGTCCACTGAAAGTGATGGAGAGGGTTACAGGTCTGCAGGGTGGCAGTGATGGACCCGGGTAGGTCTCTCACGGTCGCTGGTCGCACGGCCGGCCTGCAGCGCAGGAAGCAGAAGCCACAGGGACGGGTGTGACTCAGTCTGAGACGGGCGGTAATTGTGATTATGAGGGACCGGGTCCGGAGTCTCACGGCCGGGCGGGGCTGGGGTCAGGTGTGATCGAGTGCCCGTGCACGTGGCCAGCCCGCCCCTGATACGCTCATAAGGCTTTGTTCTAGTGACATGCAGGAAAACTATGGTCCCTATAATATGTCATAGGTAATAAGCAGGTAGGGTTACGACAAAGAGGGCTGGGGTGGAACAAGGGTCGTTCTCAACACAGAAATGGTTTTATTGCTACTGTGACTGACACAATGTGGGCTCGTATACCATTTGCATACCGCTGTACAAGGGCGAGACATTCTTATGTGAATAAGACCTGTCAGACTGCATAATGCATATGAAATGATCAGAGCGGAGCCTTTATTGGTGCGCCCGTTTTTCGTAGGAATTCGGTAAGGACGAACGATAAGAGTAAGACTGGCCACACTTTTTAGCCTAACGAACACTTTTGTGACAAAATGTCAAAAGTGCCGTGCCTAAGTTCTAATAAAACGACATACCCCGTCGTTATTACCCAGCCGGCAGCTGTCGGGCACGAAATTCCTCCAATCTATAGCACATAGCAAGTTTTCCATTTTATGCCACCATTACGAGAAAGCAGCTGTCTGTCCCTCTCCCTGCCCTCCCTTGCATTGTCCATCTCCCAGAGCTGTCCGCTACAGAGCCGAGCACCGGGCCCGTAGTTCGCGCCCTGTCCGCTAGGTGGCTGTCCGCGGCCGGTCAGCTCAACTCCTGGAGAGTGACCATCCGTCGTCCGGCGCTCACGGAGTTGGTGAGGAGTGCGGGTCGCTCGTGCCGGTGAGATTCTCGCACCAGGAACTCTGCACGTGGATAGAGAGCGTCTCGAGTGAGGTGGAAAACGTGCCGCTGCGCTGCGTCCGGAGGTGATACTGCGCCGACAGCGCGGTCACGACCTGCCCACAGCGGAAATCGGAGAGTGCTGCACCCATCACGTCTGGTGCCAGAGGTCACACCGTCGGAGACCTACCGTGAGTTATCATGCGAACTTCTCAATCGCTGACAGTGTCCCCCGCTGCTGATATGATTTCCCGCTGATGCTGCATGTTTTTGATAAATACTGGAGAAGAAATGGAGGGGTCAATGTTTTGATAGGTCCATAATATTTATGTTCCGTATTCGTCCATAGCAACACTGGCTTCTGTAGACTTTTCTGCTGATACTTAACTCTCTCCCGTCCAGACACACACCCATGAGTCAGGTCATCGCCGCCCTGAACTCCTTTCTGCTCAGTTCCATGAAGGGCTCCCCGCTCCCCTCTCGTGCCGGACAGCAGCCCTTCCCCTCCGCCTCCGCGCTGCACGCGCACCATGCAGGCTCATCAGGCAGTCTGTGCACGTGCTGACGACGTCCCGGGCTGGCTGCCAGCTGCGGACGGCTGCGGACGGCGCCGGGGTGCAGTTCAAGTTCTAGCCAGCGGCTCCGCCCGCGGTGGAGCCCTATTTGGCAGCGACCGTCTGCAGTCCGCCGGCGCTGGGTCCGCCCGCCCGTCCAGTCAGTCTGAGGAGAGGGTGGTGGGGATCGGTAGGGTCGCCAGTGACATTGGCGGAGGTCACACCGGGTCACGGCTGCCAGATGACGCCGCCGGACCGCTGTATACACTCTGCTCAGAGTGGAGGATTCGGGTCAGCTGAGCGCGCACCGTTAGCGAATATCAATGACTTCATGCAACAGTGCGCGGGATGAGAGGCGGCTTGGCTCGACGGCTCTGACGGTCACACGCTGCCCCGTCACGGCTGAGGGGACGGGCGCTCATACAAACACCAAGGCACAGTGGGGACCGGGTGCAGTTGCATTGCAGACAAACACTGATTGGGAGACGGAAGAAGTTGCAAGCAAGGACTGAGCGATGAGTCGGGGGCAGATCAGACAAACATTAGATTGGCCGGGCATTGTAGGCGAGCACTCAGTTACGGTCAGAGAATATCGGCAGCACCGATACTGTTAGGAAATATTGCAATTCGCAAGCAACCACCGGAGCGCATCAAGTTTATTAGCCGACAAACACAACCAAACATACCGGGGCCAGGTGTAAAGAAACATCATGGGGACCGGGTACATATTTAAACAAAGCATACAAACAAAGACATGCCGAGATACGGCTATGGAAGTCGCAGAAAAGCACTAATAACAGGCCGGGACAGCGCGGTGGGAAGACAGAGCCGCTCGCAGTCCCGGGACGCGGTGGCCGTCATCGGGTCAAGGAAATGCCGCCATCGCAGCCGCGCCACTGCTCAGTAAACGGGCTGAGACGAGGTCGAGGTGATGATGCTCGAGAGGTAGCGCTTCAGTTATAACGAGGGGCACAAATAGTACAATCTCGCCGCATCATAATGCTTCGGTGAGCTTGAAAGCCCCATTGGGTGCTTCAGGTCCGCCCCAGCCCTGACCCTGCGGAGCTATACTGAAACTGTGAGCCGTGAGATTTCCTAGAATGCATTGACGATTTCTGATAAATGTTCGATTTCCAAAAAAAAAACTGTCTATACGAGCTCATTTACGTGCCACATATTAACAATATTGCGGACCTGCAATGAACATTGAACAATCTTGTGTCCTGCATGTCAAACTTTGCTATTATGTGATTAATAATTATGCAATAATTATGATACGTATATCATTATATCACCATCCTAATAAGAATCCAAACAACTTCGCGCAGTTCTGATTGTGTTGTTGGTCTGATTCGTGGGATCCCCTTACCACAATAAGCTCCACACCTGCTGAATGCAGAACCTGGTACACACGTAAACACAATGGGCTTTCTGCCTTGTATCGGCGTCACGCCACACGGTTCCTTTCGATTCCGGCGTGCACTTACCCATGTCCCCGGTAACGGTGTGCATGGACTAAGCATGGCGACATTAGCAGCATGTGGTCACTTTTCCTGCTATCGGAAGGTCACTTAGTCAATTTTCCGAGGATTAAATACGTTTCGCTGCCGCGTCGGCAGTTCAGTTGACGTCATGTCAATTGCCGATGGTAGACGGGGATCGTTTTTAACCGGTATTGCCATCATGAAGGAATAACAAACGGCACGCAATATTCACCCATTACGTTCAGTGCAGTGTATTTCAACGGCAGCATCGTGAAATCAAAGACATTCAACATAACCATGGCAAAATAGCTTATGGTCAATACCCCACTCTGATCTGCTATTTTATTCGTTCCAGAATATCTAGCATGATGTCCGATACCGCCCTACCCCCGGGCCCCCCCCCCCCCCACTGCCTTGCTAGTGTCATGCACTAAACCACATTATGACTTTTGCCACAATGACCCATCAATAATAATTCCTCGGATCCTTTGAGGGGGTCGCTGTCCATCCCGCTGCTCTCCTCCACCGTCCGTCCCGCTAACCCGCTGCCCCTCCCGCTAACCCGCTACCCGCTGCCGCTCACGCTGACCCGCTGACCCGCTGACCGCTGCAGTATCACTGCTGGGCGCTGGGCGCTGGCCCCTTATCACCTCCCGATCGGACCTCGTCGCCGGCCCTGGCCGACCCAGCGGGACCGCGTGGGTCGTGACGCACGTGAAGTGCTCGTTAGCCGCCGTTTCATGGCTACTGTCGCCTGATCGCAGCCCTTGTATGTGTGTCGAAGTGCTGGCCTGGCTACGTCAGAGGGCGGCACTCTGGCTTTGTCACAGCGCGGCAGCCTGGCTGTCGGAGGCGCACTGTGCTGCCCGGCCCGGACTCCCGTAGCCCACTGTGATGCTGCTTGTGATGTTCCTTGTGCACGGTGGAAATTTTGCAGTCTTTGTGCGTAAAAGGGCCGCAGTTTGCTACGTGGAAGGGCGGCAGCCTACGCACACAGTGCGCACCGCGCTGCCAGGCTAGGAGCCTAGTGAAAATGCGTCACTCACAGCCGGTATTGCTCGTCGAACTCCGTGAAACAGGGCCACACGCAGCTGGCGCAATGTAATTAGCAGTCGAGGCCACCGTCGAGATGGTCTGTTTATGCAGATGAGGGAGTCCGCCCTCCGTTCTGCCGCACCCATCGCCGGGCGCGCCCCAAAACGGCGTCCGTTCCGATTCGTTCCGCTCTCAACTCTTCACGTCCCGGCTCCTCTCGTCCCTTCCTCACTCTTTTTGTTTTCTTTCGTTTCATGATGGCTTCTATTAGATACACAGTTTGAATCTGTTTTAGTTGGCATAAACGGTTGATTAGCTTGAATCGGATGTTTCGTCTTTTTTCGATCGGTTTTTACTCTTTTAGCCAATGTGTTATATGTCGGGTCACCACTTACCCTTCATGACCTCCATATTTTTTTTTTTGTATTTTAGCTCTGCTAACTCCTTCTGGCCTTGATTCTCTCAGATGATTCGAGTCCGCTCATATCCCAGCTGTTTCATGCGAGATGTGACGCAACAGCCCCCTGGGGCGGCCACCGCCCGTGGCGCCGCCCGTGCGCTCGTGCCGTCGGGAACGCCGACAGTTTGCAAACGACGCGGTGAAGGGTCGCGCTGAGGCTGAAAACACGCCGCTGAGGGGCCGTAAAAGCCGCGCGGATGATGCAGAAATGGAAATGAGCCGGCGGGACAGGCCGGGAGCGCCGGCGGCAGACAGTCGCGCGCGGAGAGGCGGGGCGCAGGCACGCACGCTGGCCGCGTATTGTTGTTGCGCCGTGAATGGCCCAGTGGCATTGTTGCGCCATGGAGCGGTGGTTGTTTTCGGTGTGGTACTCCCACACTAAAGCACTAATAGGAGCCAGTCAGAGGCGCTCCTTCTCTCTCTAGGTCACGCAATGCAAATGGAGAGAAGATGAAGGGGCGCTTTGATACTGAGCTCAGAACGGAAATTGAAGCGAGCGAGCGTTTCTTCATAAGGTCGATTCCATTCATACTACCCCGGAAAATATAGTTCAGATAGTCATGCCGTGTCCTCTTCACAATATCAAACCGGTCAATTAATTTTTAGTAAAAAAAGATTACACTTTCTTTAATTAAAATGTTTTTTTTTTCACTGATAAAACAATTCTTCCACGAATGATAAATGTGGTATTCTTTCACACTATTGCTGTCGATGTATTGCTAGCTCATTGTGCCGTTGCATGCCTACCCGTCACATGTTATCGCCGCCCATGGCGCTCCCAGCAAGCAGACTGGGAGGCGGCGAGGTCTAACGGTGCCCGCACTACCTGACCTTGTTACCATGCAACACAGTGGAGGTCTTATCTGATGACCCGTTTATCGCCATCTTAGCGTCCGGGATGGGGAAGACTCTAGTCAGCGAGCCAGGCAACCAGCTGGTGTCGAAAACCGGGCAGACGCGACAGGAGCGTCCTACTCTGACTTATCCAGCTGGTGCCGGCTGGCCTGAGACTAGCTCTTTTCCCGGCGCAGTGATGAACGATCAGTGGAGATTCATGGGCGCCCGTTCACTGCGCCTGGCCAACTGGTGTGCGAGCTCTATCAAACTGGGCCGTTCATCGGCGCGGGCAATCCTTGGCGACACCTGTGCGACAAACGATCGGTGAATGGCGCAGGCGACCTGGTCTGAGGATGCAGCGCCGGAGCCGGAGGGCCGAGCAGCGCCGGAGCCGGAGTAGCCACGGATAGAGCCGTAGCCCGGACAGCCCGGACCCATGGCTTTATACCCAGCACGTAGAGCGTCGACGGCGCTGCCGCATCTGTCGCTGATCAGCGCGCACTGGCATCGTTTCTCAGGCTCACTAGGCGCCGAATTCCGGTCGGTGCTGCGATGCTTGTCGCCACAGATAGCCGCGGTATGCTAGAGACCGTGAGACGACGAGATGACCGGGGCGACGGCCGACCGCACTGTCAGACAGGTCCTCTGTTGGGAGGATACTGACGCAGGTGAAAATGAATCTGACAAGCTCTTTTTGCCGTTGTGCTGAAAATAATGCAATGATTCTCTGAAGCATGCTTCATATATGGGACAGTGACACGGCAACAGACAAGTCAAGCATGAAGCAATGCACAATTTCTTCAAATGGAAAATCATGCTGT